CAGAAAACCAGACTGCAAACAGAAGTGCCTTCTTCTGAGCCCAAGGGCTGAGCATTAAAGGGGTTACTTAGCTTAAATAACAGACTTACTGAAAAGCTGTTCTTGAAACCTGGGCCCCTTTCTATAGCTGCTGCTGGAGGATGGGGACAGGGACACCTTGGGCAGTGTTTTGAACATCCACTGCCCTTGAGCCACCAACAGAAGGCCACGGCTTGAGGAGTCACCACTGTGAAGGGACTAAAGCCAAGGGGAGAAGAGTGATCCAGCAGCTTCCAGTGTGGGTGTCACCAGGGAGGACACCCTTGTCCTTGGAGGGTGGCAACCCATTTCTGAGCAGCACTGATGGCCACTCTATTACTACTGACAGGCTTATGTGTAACTTCAGTGGGCTAGACATGGATGGCAAAGTGCGTAGGGAAGCATTTTGGGGGTGATAAACCCCCCTGTGAGCTGCAGAGGGAGAGGCAGAACAGAGGAAATCGATGTGTTGCCACTGCTGGGAGGCACATGGGCCTGAAGGGTAAGCCCCAGAGCAAAACAGGTTTTGAGCAACAATATTTTCATTAAATAAAAATCACAGTTTTCTACAGTTTCTGCAGGGATGTCAATACCTTTAAGAAAATGCCTGATTCTATTCAATAATAATAAAGCTATTCTCAAGATAATTTTCTAAGTAAAATCACCCAAAAAAAGCTCAGGTTGCATTAGCAGCATTTCTTTCCAGCAGTGTTATTATCAAGGACTAAAACGGGCAGCTGGCCCCTCTGCTCCCCTTCAGGCAGACAGCAGGCAGCACCTTCTTCCTCTGCTCAAGTAATTTAAGCCAGTAGTGAAACATTCCTTCAAGGAAGCTCCTGCAGCTTCAGGTTCGTGTGGCCAGTTGGCAGTGGAGCCTGGGTGTGCATTTATATTTACACTTCCACTGTTTACATCACTTATGGGGGGCTTCATCGTGCTTCTGTGGCAAAACTGATCTCTGTTTTGGGCACTTGCCCTCCAATCACTCACAAAAATCACCCGATCTGCAGCTGATCCCCTACTTCATTCCACCTTTCTGTTTCCTGCTGTTTCCCTGGTTTTGGTCCCTCCAGCCCTGCTTTCTTTCAGACCTTCACAAAAAACCTTCAGCACCACAAAACTGCCCTGCCAGATGTCTCAGCCTGGCCAGAGTTGCCCTTGGCATCCTTCAGCATTTAAAAGCACTCTATTAAAACCAGAGCAAGACACCCAGACGAGGTGATTCCCTTCCTTTAGGCAGTGGAAGGCAGCAGCTGCTGGAGGAGGTGGGAGGCCAGGGCCCCATAAACAAGGACAGGGTTTAGCAATGGGACACAGAGTGAGCTAATGAACAATTAAGTCAGAAGCTTTCACTGGAAAGCCATTTCCATCTCCAACAACTCCACATTCCCTGACCCAGCTGGACATTCCCTGATCCCCAGGTCCTGGATCACTGATGTCACCCATGGCCACCATGGGGCATCCCCAGCTCCATCCCACTGCCCATCAAGCACAGCAGCTGGCACAGCTCCATGGGGCTGCTGGGTCATCTGGGGAAGTGGCTTTCCAGTGATTGCTCGGGGGACTTTGCTCATGGCTCCCCAACCCCAGCAATTTGGAAGTGAGGGCAGGGGCTGGTGTGGGAGCACTCCCTGAAAGCCTGGGGAAGCTGTTGGTGGTGCAGACTCCTGCCCCTGTGCCCGTACATCTGCTGATCTCCACACTAAAGACATTTACTGTACATGTTTGCCACCAGGGAAAGCCGCTGTCCGCCGCTCAGCTCTGTTACTGGAAGAGCAGCAGCGGCATTTGTGCTGCTCTCAATATTGCGTTTCCAGGACCTGCTGTGTGGCTTTCGAAATCCTCCCCCCAGCTCCCCACATCCCCCCATGCCAATTAGGGAGGATGCTGGTGGGGGTGACGGCCCCCTCCCCTGTGTGGCAGTGCCGCGCCGAGGGACTGGCGCCAAGCGGCGCGAACCGTCCCTTCTTGGCCTTGGGAAGCGCGGTTCACAAGCCAATGACAGAGGGATGAAATGCAAATATAGCATTTCTTGTAAAGTAAATTAAGCTAACAACGAGGTAACAAACCGCTGTTAATATTAGATTAACTTGTTTGGCAAGATATGAAATGGGGTGAGCTGGATTGCCGGTGGCGGAGTGCTCGATAGCGCTAATGCTGCTCAGGGAAGTATAACATCCCTCTGACAGACAGGGGCATGCTCCAAAAATAAAATAAATTAAGTCTGCAGGAAGAGCCAGAATCTGTGCAGCAATTACACCAGCATTAAAGATGAATGGAGACGAAGCCTAAGATTTTGATTGCCTTTAAACACTGGCTTGTTTTTTAATCTCAAAATCAGACTGTGCTGTGATCAGCCATTAGCCCCAACCGAAAAAAGAGAAAGAGACAGATGATCCTAGATTTTAACATCTCTAGTATGAACTTGAAATTCCTCTTTGATCTAAGATAAGGAGGCAAATGGCAGATAGTGCAGAAGTTAAAGCCAGCTGAGTGCAGTTGGCAGCTGGGGCTGACATTGGCAACGATGGAGGCTTGGGCAGAGGGGTCACCGGCAGCCGTGTCCTCAATGTGGGGACTGAGGCACGGGCTTAAATGTCATACTATATGCCAGTGGTCACTAAACTGATTAGGCAGTGGTTATCTTTAGCAGTAAAAAGGCTATCTGCTAATACTAAATTATTAGCGGCTAAAATGCCATTTACTCTGCTCTGATTCCTTGAATGAATATTTATGCCAAGTGATGACTATAACACCATCAAAAGGTTTCCGTGCTCTGCTCTGTAGAGTGGAAGCGATTATTCAACAGCAGGTCTGCACTCCAGCCCTTGTTTCTATTAAGCAAATTTGCAGTATTCAGACAAGAATTCATGATTACATTGTCCTCCTGGGATTTTTATTTTTAAAGGTGACCCACCTCCAACGCTCTTTGGGGCATGGGTTGTGGCAGGTAGGCCCTGCCTGCTGTGCAGACACAGAAAAGAGGGATACAGATGCTGTACAATTTCTCCCTTGTATTTTTTCTTTTTAAAATATAAGACAATTGGCTATTTGCCCCACCCCATTCAGTGCTTTGGGTTTCCTCCCATCCACCCAGTCTCCAGCTGGGGCTTTTGCACAAGCCAGCATAATGAAATTCCTGCTTAGGTGTCAGGAATCAGATCTACAGCAATGGTGACAAATCAAGAGGGTTGCCCATCAGAAATGAAGCCCCTGCACCCCAGCAGGGGAGCAGTGCCTGCATTTCACAGCAAGGCAAGTGCGGGGAGGCAATGGGAAGCCGCTGCTCCTGAGTCATGGCCCATGGTGTAACTGAGGTACCTTTCTCTGAAGGACTCCGTCCTTAAACTGGTACCAAAACCCTCTTTAAGAATCTGAACTAAAATGGAACAGCCCTTCCAGCTTGTTTGGTGAGTGGTTTCGGTTTGGTTTTACTGCTCTCCTCCTCACCACAGGACAGCAGCCTTGCCCTGCCATTGTGTGCTGAATTGCAGCAAATCCCACGGGCAAGCAGGCAGGGAGCCATCAATCCAGAGCACAGGCAGGGGCAGCGGCTGCCTGGCAGCCCATTTCAAAGCAAGGAATAGAAACATTTGGGCAACAAGCTGCTCCTTCCATAGCCCCAGGGTGGCTGCCTCCAATAGTCTCTACAAAAAGAGCATCAACTCTACAGCTTCTCTAAAGACAACCTCCCCCCACCCCAAGAAGCACTAAAATGGAACAGCAGTTTAAACACCACATATCCATAGGCAGCTATAAGTGGCTCTCTAATTGCTGTTCCATGTTTATGGGAATACAAAGGGATGAGGTTGTGCATTTAATGCTGGGTCTCCCAACCCAAAACATCTGTTTGAGAAGAAAAATCACTCAATCAATCCACATGTCTGAGGTAGCTCTAGATGACAGGCAATATTTCGAAGCATGCTAAGTGTCTGGTGGTGCTTTGCTTCTGCTTAGCCATTATTCAGCACAGGTGTGTACATAAAAGCATTTCATGCAACAGGCAGAGCAGCACCAAGCTGCACTGCACCTGGCATTTGCAATTCAGAGAACACACATAAGCGACCCAGGACCAGCAACCAATTAAGTCACATCAGAAAAAAAAAGTACTCGGTGTCTATTTATTAAAGGAAAGGGGGGTAAATCTAAGAAAAAGCAAGAAGACAAAATAAATAGAATTGCAGCCATCCTTTACAGCTACTGGTGCACTATATTAAAGTGACACTCACTATACAAAGAAATGTGTTTGATACAGTCCAGTGGGTTGCACATGAATTGCATAACCTTGAAAATCATTGCACAAAGCATCGCAGCAGGAACACAGTTCAGAATTTTTTTCTCTGGGAGATGCTTCAAATCTGATCGCTTTTATTGCGTGGGAGGTCAAAGCACCTGGCACGGAGTAAGCAAAAAGGGCTGGGAGCAGGGATCTGCTGCATCAGCGCCCAGGCACGTCCCAGCCCTGACATCAGCTCTCACAGCAGCTCTGACCTGGACAAGTGATGCCCCACGGGAAAATCCCACTGCCTAGCAAAGCTTTGGAATTAATATTCTGATCAATGCCCAGGCACCTGTTGGCAGGGCTTCAGGGAGCTGTTCCTTGCAGCCCAGACTGGAGCCACGGGCTCAGCCAGCCAGCAGGAATTCCATGGCAGTGCTCTGTCTGAATCCACAAGGAGCCTCTCAGCCAGCAGCTCAGCAGGCACAGCCGCCTCGGTGGGACCCTGCCAGCGACGCTTCCCAGCCATCACCTGCCCCCGGCTCGTTCCCTCCCATTATACAGGGAGGCAGGTGGTTGGATGGAAGTCTCCACAACTCTGCAGCGGCATTTCCCCCAGTTACTGTGAGAGAACCTGCCTCTGCTGTGATCCACGCAGTTTCCAGGGATCTGTGTACACGTTTCCAATAGTCTGCTCAGCTAAAGCACAGGAAATACAGGCTTTTGCCACACGGGGAAGAAACCACAGCAAAGATGACCAGGAAACATTCATAATTTTTAATTCACACCAGTAATAAAATTGCATTACATTTTTCATAAAATAAATGTTCCAGTTTATATACAGAAAACAGACTGTACAGAGCCCTCCCCCAGACCCCAAAAACTCACAAACATACAGGCAATGCAGTGCTCAGCTAAGCAGGCACAACTGTACATCTAAAATTGTAACTGCTTTGTGTTGGGGGGGAAAAGTACTACAATGTATATAGTCCTCTCTGGACCAAGAATTAAAAAAATATTGCAGGCAAGCTGACAGACGCCCTCGCTGCTCGTGCGGCCAAGCGCCCATCCCACAGTGCTCCAGCGAAGCAGGGGCTGTTATTGAACCTGGGACTCGAAGCTCCCGTTCAGCTGCCCTTCCTCATAGTCCATCTGACACAAGATCATGTTGTTCTTCAGGAAAAACTTGTCTCCCACGCAGAATCTGGAGGATGAAAAAGAAAGGATTAGTGGGTGTGAGTATGAGCAGATGTTAGGATGGGGGGGATTTGAGGCAGTTTGGGTCCGAAGGCGACTCCGGTGAGCAGGGTTTGATTTCTAGCTCTGCCAGTGCTTCTCCCCTTGCCATCCCAGGGTTTTGCTCTCCCTTTCCCTGGCACATCCGTGCTTGGCTCCAGGCCACAGGGAGCAGCTTGGGGAGCAGGTCCCACTCTCTGCAGGGTCCTGTGCCAGCTGCAGGAGGAGGCTGGGAGCAGTTAAGGGATTTGTCCCTGCAGACAAAAGATGTTGGCTCTCCAACCAGGAAATCAAGCGGGCAATATTACACTGAGCCTATTTCAAGTTTTTGCTGGTATCCACATTTCCACAGTTCCCTCGGGTGAAGCAGTATTTACACTAATTTCCAGGCAAGGACTGGCTATTAAGTCCTCCCTCACCCCCTTGTGTACAGTGCTGAACAATAAATAGAAATTTCTCGGTGGCTGGACTCCTAACCTTTATCTTCATTGAGCGAAGGGCACTGCTCTCTATATACCATGTAAATTGTTCTGTTTGTCTTGAAGTTGACAGAGAAGCTTGTGATATTTAACAATTTTATTTGACCATTAAGGTCAAAAAAGTTCCACATATAAGATCGGAGAGGTGTGAATTGACAGCCAATAGCTTTTTCCACCCTGCCTGCTTGCTCAGGAATCAGAAGCTAATCTTTACTTCTTAAGATAACAAATAATGTTCTCTGCACCCAGTTCAGGGGCTGTTTTCTGTCCATCACGCTGGCAGGACAATGACAGACTGCCCCAAGAGCTGAGTCTGAAATCAGCCAAAGGTCCCTGAAGCAAAGGGACAACCTGGGTCAGGCACTGTGCTTCAAGGCAGCTCTGCACTGAAAAGAAGGGGTAGGTACCAGCCTCTGGCGAGGCTAAGTATCTGCAGGGCTTTGAAGGAAGATCATTGGAGGTGACCCCATCCTCAGGAGACTTAGCAGACCTCAAAATGCCCATTTCCCCTGCTCCCAGGCAGAGTTTTGGGACTGCCTACCCCTTGCCTAAAGTGCTTTCATCATCTGTAACTCAGGCAGCTTCAGGCAGAGCATCTCCATAAAAAAAGAGTTTTCTGCTAAAAGAATAGGACTGATAATTTTAGAGCTCCTTTATAGGCCCAACACAGGCACAAGATTTCTACATTTTGACACCTGCAAATAGGCTGATGCATTTGCCAAGTTGGTGCAGAGAGAACTGGGCATAGGTTCACACTTTATAGGATTTCATTGAAGACCTTCCATCTTCTTCCCTCTGTGGCACGTGCTCTAGTAGTTCTGAAATTCAACCTTTTCTATATATTAAAAAGATAAAGATTATTCCTAATTTCCATTAACAGCTTTTATGGTAAAAACTGTACTGTACACACTCTCCTTAACACCGCCTTCCCCAGGAGCAGGTTTACTCACAATAAAGAACAGACACAGCTGCTTGCTTTTCACTACTTATCCCCACATTAAGTGCCATAGAAACCTCCAGGAAGAGAAATGCAAAAATTACTCTTGCCCACCAGCATCATGAACAGCTGTCTCTTGCTAAACCTGGTTTTGGGTGTAGAGGAGCCAAAGGAGGAGCTGGAGAGTTTGGAAGGTGTGGGGTGTGTAGAAGCGCACAGGAACTGAAATGCTCTACAGGGGGACCCAAATGTGATGTGAAGTTTTGGGAGAAGGGTTTGATTCACTGGAAAGGCAACTGTTTCTACTTGCCAGTCCTGCAAACCCACCAGTAAACTGGGGTCTCTTCAGCTGATGCATCACAAGGGGAGACAGAGGGGTTAAGAGGGTGACCTCAGGCCCAGATTCACACTGCCAGCCCAAAATGATCGGAGCAGGGACGTTGCAGAGCCCATTTGGGTGATCAAATTCCAGCCAGCAGCAGTCACAAATAGGTGCTGAACCTACTCTGCCATTTCTTTAGTGATTTTCTTCTGAGCAAACCCACACTTGAGATAATGCAAGAGAAACAGCTGGATTTCCTGCAACCCTTGTAACACTGACCTATCAGCCAGTTACAGCAGTGACCAGCTTTTATTCACCACTACAATGACCATGACGACTTTAGAACAGTTTAAAGCATGGTAGGCTGAGTGGTAATGCAGGACTTGATGCAAAACTGGTGTTTTAGGGAATGAAAGTAATGAAAACACTGCACACTTGGTAAAAATATTAGAGATTTTGCTGTGATGGATTTAGCACTCTGTATTACAGAGTCAAGCTATAGCAAGCAAGCTGGAAGAGAACTAAGGGAAAGTCTTCATCATCAAATCTTTTCAGAGCTGAAGAACAAGATGGGGTTTCAGGTGAAGTTTCCAATTCAGAACCAGAACTGGTATCCACATCCACCTCTGCAGTTTTGGCTTTAGGGTTACTTAATCTCACTGGTCTCAGTTCAGCACCCAGTGCTGTCTGTTACTGGATCACTTCCATTCTGCCCTTTCCAGCCCAAGTCTCTACAGAATAAGTCATAAGAATTAGTAGCCCTCTGACCCCAGCCAAAATTAAGAATCTACACATAGCCCACCTTTCAGAACAACTCAGCCCCTCACAAACTGAGCAAATCCCTTGTGCATCACAGCACAACTCTGCCAGAACAGGGGGGATTACCTGCACTCTCCTGCTGGGCAGTGACAGCCCTGGAGGTTGTCTGAAGGACAGAGTGGCACCACACTGGCAATTGAAGAGGGAAGGGAGGGAGAGATGTGCTTTGGAGCCTTTGAAATGCAGGGTGAAATTTAAAAGAAATTACTGAAAATGAAAACTAGGCAGCAGTAGGATTTTCTGTGAAAGAAGGGTGAAGCAGGGCTTTGATGAGAGATACTCAGCTTGCAGACTCCAAGGCCAGCTCCAAGGAGGCCACTCCTGACTCCACATCCCAGGGCTGCCTGAAGGGACGTTTATAATGCTCCAGGCCCAGGTTTAGTGTGGAGTTTGGGACCAACTCTCTCCCACCTGGGAATCATCAGGAGGCTGAAAAGAGCTGATCCTAAGGGCTGAGCCTGGCAGCACCCACAGCACTCCCGAGGCTGGAGACAAATCCCAGAGCTGGCGATTGTCACGGTGTGGAAGGAGCATCTTAGGGGACGAGGTGGGATCAGCTCTGTGTTCAAGAACCACAAAACAAGACTGGGCAGCTGGAAGAGAGCCCAAGGCCAGGAGCCACTAGATGTCACTGCCTCCCCGGCACTGCCACCGCGCCCGTGCGGCGACAGCATTAGTGGGAGTTCTGTACCTCGAACACCTCCTCCGTGCTCAGGCACCAAATTCACCTCTAGGGCTGAGCCCTAGAGACCAGAACGGGAGAGCATCTCCCAAGTTCAGGGGTTTGGGAATGGGACAGCATCTCCCAAGTTCAGGTGTTTGCACTCATGTACGGCTGCTCCACGAGCGATCCCCACTGTGACTCTTCTCTAGAGTAAGCAAAGGGATGTTGAAGCCAGGATTTTAGCTTGACTTTTACAGAATTTGGTTATACATCTTCCCACAAATTTTGTCATCTCTCTCACACTTTCCCATGGGATGAGGCATTGGTATCCCAGTTTCATCTTTGGGAAACAACCACAGATCCAGAACAGGAACACCAGCACAGCCCTTGGACCCTGGGCAGTCACTACAGCCTGACTAAACAAGAAATAAGAACTGCAAGCAGTTCCAGGTCTATCTCAGACAAGGATGGACAAATGGATGCATCAGAAGGTGACACAGTATCACATCTGGTTCTGTGGGCTTCCATTCTGCCTATGATGATCAACAAACATGGTGCTGGGAAGATTTTTTCACATGCCTCCCAAATGCTACTGGCTCCAGGTAGTTCAAATGAAAACACTGTTTTCAGGCATGGCCCTTTATTATAGTCCCTGATGTCCATCCTCCACCCAGCAGAAACAGCAAGCCCACTCAAAATTATACCACCAAGATCCCCTATTAATTACACACCACCTAAAGGGATTTGCTCCTAGTGTTGGAAAGGGCTTGGCCGGAGTATTTTCCTCCTTTCTGTCCCTTCTCTCTATCCTTCTTCTTTTCCACTCCCAGTTTTGAACGTGTCAGAAATGTGATTTAAGAGAGATAATGTCAGTTTGCCAGAGGAGGTCCATTCTCCATCATCTGCCTTCTGCAAAGAGGGGAGCTCCCGAAAGGACGCTGGCGCAGTTTGTTTTATTCAGCAGCAGCTGTACAGTCTGTGTCCTCCCCCTTGCCCCTCCAACTCCCACCAGCTCCAAGGGGATTTGCAGAAAAAGGGCTACAGGTACTTACACGCATCCCCCAGGTCAGCCTGGCAACCCAGCCCTGCCAGCAGGCTGTGAGCCCCAGACGGGCTGCGTGCATCGAACATTTCATTTCCCGTTTTCTGGGCAAAGGTATAAATTAGTTTGTGTGTACAATAACTGTGTCCTCACCGCTGGTTGCAGAGCTGACAGGCAAAGCAGTCCAAATGGTAAACATTATCTCTGGCCCTCATCACCATCTCAAAGGCAGGGATCAGTTTACTGCAGGCAGCACAATTCCCGGTGGTACCAAAGAGCCTGCCAAAGAAGCACAATCATTAGAAGCCATTTTAATTAAATGGTGGAAGGACTAATTAAGTGTAATTAGCAGTATCAAATACTGTATTGCACCAATAAATAGAAGCTGCAGTCTCCATTTCACTGACCAACCAGCGCGCGGGAACTTGGGATAAAACTGCCTGGTGAGCAGGCTCCGATCGTCGAGATGAAACTTCATTTGGTTTGTGAGCCTAGGGCTAATTTGCTGTCTAATGGAGAAAAGCATTAAACACTTAGAGCACTATTTTGGGGCTCACAAAATTTCAGTCAAAAGCTATCTGCCTCTCTGCAGCAGTGGGGTAGGTGGTGGGAGCTGCCCATCCTGCTCCCCACACGGGCTTGCTGCGCTTGGCCGCAGCCTGACGGAGGGACAGGATGGCAGCAGGACACACAAGTCCCATGAACTTTGCCACTCCTGGCAGGCAGCGCTGTGACAGAGCTCAGGAAGAACCTCACTTACCTGCTGATAAAAAGAAAAAGCACGACATATCTCGCAATGAGCACACAGCTCAGAGAGCGAGCCCTCCTCCCGGGCTGTGCCCCCCTCCTCCTGCCTCCCCAGCCCTCCCGGGAGCCAGCTAAGCCCTTCCACGGCGGCCTGGACAGCATGCTCAGCCGTTCCACTCCAGCTCCCCGGCCCTCCAGGACAGCCCTTCAGCACTGGAAGCTTTGCCATTCTCATCTTGGCTTTCACTATCTGTCTCCCCAGATTGCTGCTGCTGTTGCAGCTCCTGCCGGGGGACTCGAGCAAGACTGCGGCATCCTTCCCGCGGCCCCCTTGCCCCAGGTGTCCCTGCAGACCCTGTGTGCGCCAGGCTCCAACCGGCCGGGGGCACGGAGCCACGGGCTGACAGAACCAAGGTTCACCCCAGCCTCTGGTCACATGTCACTTGGCCTGGAAGATGATAAAAACGGTATTTTGGGGGTGATGAGCCTCAAGATGTACGATCCCTGCTGGCCATTAGCTCTGCGCACGCAACGCGCCGCTGCCCGCGGACAGATCTGGGCTCACGGTTTGTTTCAAGCCATCGGTTCTGGCTGATTCCACAACACGCAGATGAGAAGCATCAGGAAAATCTATAACCAATTTCTAAACCTGCAATTTGCCAGGCTAATCAATACTAATTATTACTGGCCAGTAATTGTGAATTGAAACACCCAGCAGTGTTATAGAAACCTCCACACAACTCTCCCACCCTCCTACAGTGCTGTGCTCCCGAAGTCAGCTCGCCCTCCAGCTGTAAGAAAGCCCACCCTTATTTTTCTTTAGAAGTGGTATCAGTGGTCTTTCATTAGGCCTGGTGGGAAAATCCCAGGCCTTCCTATGAAGAAACAGCACTGTGTTTTCCCTGAGAGCTAAACCACACAAACCAAAACAGAAACACGCGTGCAGGATAGAAAATCCGCAGAGGGAGTACCAAAATTTCTTCCCCTGTGATTCCATCATCAGGAGGCTGAAAGGCAGAGTGAGACACCAGCTGTAGGTATGTTTTTGTACCACATGTATGCATGTTTTTGCACCAGCAAAAGGCAGTCCCTTCCTCCCTGCAAGCTGACCCCTCTTGCTCCTGCCTCCATGGGCAGGAAAGGCAGGGGAGGCAGCTGGGCATGGGCCTCTGCTGCCTAACGCCAGCAGACGGGACTGCAAAAATGCAGCACTGAAAAGCATCCAGGTCTCCACCCTGGAAAGCCCTGGCTCTCATTCAGCACCCACTCACAAATCAAGCCATTAGTCCAGACATCCCTCCCTTCCCCAGCCTAGCTGCCCCTTTCCACTTGGGCACAGCAAAGCCTGACAGCTTTTGCCAGGATTTTCCCATTTCCCATAAAAGCAGGCATCCGTTTTTAGAGTACCCAAGTCACAGCAAACTAAAAAAAAATGAGTCAAATGCATTAGGCAGGGAAACTGGGAGGTTAATCCTAGATTTGCTCTGTGCCCAGCACTGCTACATGCACAAGTATAAAATATCCATTATTCATTAGCATCACAGTTGTGTGGAGCTCAATCTAGATTAAACAAAATAAAGGGGCCCCAGACAGCACCATTTGCATTGTTAAGCAGGTGCTTTTCTTCAGCCTTCAAATAGCAGACTTTTCTAAATGGAAATGATGGGGAAATTTGGACAGATGTTCACTTAACTATTTAAACAGTTAGCTTAAGAAACATGAAAAATGTATTTGGCATCGTATTCACCTGTCTCCTTTCAGGGGTTTTGGGGGTAAACCAATTGTTAAACAGCTTTGACTGTTTGCATAAGAACTGAAGCTTATGTTCTGTCCAGCTGAAATCGTGTTGCCTTCTAATGTCTACATAACGTGGCTTCCAGCGAGTCAGCGTGCTAATCTTTATCTCTTCTATCAAGTTTCACAGTCCTCCATACCCTCCCTTTCCCAACAGATGAACATTTCACACTTATTCTAGCACCTCCTAATTTTAATCTGCTTTTTGGGGAGTGATTTAGAGCCCCATGTATTCACCATGCTTCTAAAAATACGCCGTAACTTGTAGCTCGGCGAACATGGCTTTTTCAAAATTTGTTGGAAGAAAACGCAAAATGAACAGAGTCTTTTGCCTTTTTTTGTTTGCTTGTAGGAAACCTGCCACATCTGATATCCCCTGATCCAGAAGCTACTTGAGCTGAAGCTTCCTGAAGTGGGGAGCTTAACGCTATTGGAAGGAGGGAGAGAAGATAAGGAGCAGGAGGAAAAACCTTCCACCCCAAGCCCCATCTGTGGTTAAATTTAAAATAACCCCGCATGAACAAGCTGATCTGCATTCTGTCCCCCAAACACCTTCGTAACAGATGCAACACTCTCTCACACATTCACACACACGAAGCTGAAGTGCACTAGAAAAATCTATCAGATGTTTAGCCTCTACTTACCAGCTTGGAGCCATTGGCATAAAAGAAGCTGGAAATACAGAAAGTTTTCAGTTTGGGATTGTTTTGCGTCTTCTAAAAATCCCTATTTATTCACTTCCCTTTGAAGTTAAAAGGCAACAATTTTTAAGTACAGATTTATTCCCCTTTATGTAACAGAAGACCCAGCCAGCTTGTAAATAAGCATAGACTATGCAGATTTAAAATTTAGCACAATTAAACTTTTACCCTGTGGTAGTAATTATGTTTAATGGCTCTTAGCCTGAACTTAACCACGTCTATTGTTGTCAGCCAGTCTAAAAGCAGGAGTTTGTCCAAGGACAATTTTCTGTAGTTTATGGGCACACTAAAAACCCTGCTATGCCCTGTTCTCATTGGCCATTGATGTCAGTGTGTATAGTAAAAATTAAAGCTAATTGGCATACAGGAGCAGCCCTGAATGCAAATGAATTAATGGCAAAAGGAGGGAAGTAGTAGGCAACTGTCAAAGGATGGGTTTTATGTAGTCTTGTCTGGGCTGAAGAGCAGTCTTGTGCATGGTGATCCAGACCTCAACAACTCTGAATACACCTAAAATTAATTCTATCCATAGTAATGTCACAGCACCCTGCAGGGTTTTTTTTTTTTGGGTGGGAAAAAGAATGGTTAAGGGTTCTTACTGTAAGGAAAACAGGAAGAAACTTCTCATATGAAAACATTAATACCTTTTAACAGATTTTTCGTTTAACCAAGATGTTCAGGGGGGCTAAACTGAGAACCTGTTTGCCTATTTTTGTCTCCACTAGGAACAACAATCTGGTTTAGTCACTGCCTGCAAGGAGAGAGTCCCCATTTCTTCTCGCCCCCTCTAGCCTGGTGTCTGACTAGATAGCAGCTTGCAATCAAAAGAGGAGGAGAAAATCTTCCCTCCGCAGAAAGAGGAAAAATTTTGGAGCTGTTGACTTCAAAGGAAACAAAAAAAGAGGAAGCAGGACAGGCACATAAAAATAATGAATGGTACAGAAAGGAAAGGTTGGCAGTGTCAACTGGATTTTTTTTAAATACAGGAACAAAACAAGTTCAAAATTCAAACAGCTGAATGGAGACTGATAATTGCCCCCCAAAAAAGGTTTTGTCAACACTGAAAGATAAGAGTTATGAACTGAAGGAAGACTAAACAGTAACCTACAGATAAATATCTACATTTGTAGATATTATGTCCAACTGCCTATTTTTCTACATATTTATATATCCAGATTATCTGGATATACAAGTTTTGTAAGAGCTATGGAACTCCATGCTGGTATTGTCCCCAGCCAGAAGGTGAAATCAGTTTTCCCATACACCTTCCCTGTTTGCCTGCTGCTGTTTATTTCTTAGTTTCATCAGGGCCTGCTGTAGAACAAAACTTGCTTTATGTACCTGAAATCCATCCTCAGGAAAAGAAAAGGTTTTGCCCCTGCCTTTTGAAACAAACCAACAACTGATTTTTAAGTGGGGATGGCTCTTAAATACTGCGATCAGTATTTTTCCCATCTGTGGGTATTAGAAATAGGCTGAGCTACAAGTGTGACTTGACTGCAGTATTGAATAAACCAATAAATGCAGGGAAAGCCTGAACATCACTTAAAAAGATAAAAAAGAATAAGCTTAAAAGCAACTTCAGACAGCTTTGCTGCAATCAGCCCTTGTGTGAATTAGAGAAAGCCTCAGTGATAGGAGCTTCAGCATGGTAAATACATATTTATTTGTGTTTAATTGTGTTGGTGCTGCTACACCCTCCTATCCAGGACACCGATGTCAGTGCTGCACTGGGAAGTCATGTCAGCTGAAGGAAAGGAAATGCATTTTGATACTAATGAAGTTGGTCAAGCTGTCCTCTCATGAAGCCTTCAAGATCAGTCCCAAAGAATTTACATCTTGCATGCCAAAGGGCTTGGCATTCAAGGACAGCATAGCGGGGGAGTTGAACCAGTACAAAACAGCCCTTGGCCAAGTGACTGCACTGGTTCAGAGATTACTGGGCCTGAACTTCAAGGTTGCTCAAGGGAGTCTGTTTTCACTTGAAGGACACATCTGAATGTTCATTTATTTTCACTCCTTTGGCCTCTTCCTCCA